AACAGAGGGACCAAACTGCATGAGGTTTGTAGCCACTGTAAAGACTTTGAGCAAAACGAGGAGTTACTGAAAAGTTTCAAGACAATAGCATTTACCTGAGTTTTTATAGTAATCATTCTGGCTGCTGTGTTGATAGTTGAAAGTTATCTTATTTCAGCACATTGAAATAGTGTATTATCCACTGTCTTCTGACTTCCATTGCTGCTGTTGAGAAGTCAGCTGTTAACCTAATTGCTTGTCAGTGATCTGTCAGTGATGTCTTTGCTCTTTTTTTGGAGTTCTGCAGTTTAGCAGTGATGTGTCTAAATGCATATTTCCTTGTATTTTTCTTGCTTATAATTAATTAGAATTCCTAGGTCTGCAGATTAGTCTTTCAACAATTCTAGAAAATTCCTAGCCATTATCGTTTCCCCATTCTCCTTATTTCCTCCTCCTAGAATTCTGATTAAATACATACTAGACCTTCTCTATATATCCTTTATGTTTCTTTGCTTCTCTTTTATATTTTTCATTTCCTTTTGACCCTTTGCATTATGTTTTGAATAATTTCTTTAGATCTCTCTTCCAGTTCATTAACTTTTTCTCTTCAGTTGTGTTTAACTTTCCTCTTCTTTTGTGAACATGTATTTGTTTTATTTTTCAGGTATTGTAATTTTTGTTGGGAGAAAACCATTTGGTTCTTTGCTTCTTTTTTCTAATGTGTTTATTTCAAGTTCATATTTTTAAGCTTACCTTATATTTCTTAAACATGTAAACATAGTTATTTTACATTCTGTTGAATAATTCTAGAGTATTAATATATTTGTGGGTCCATTTTTTTTAAGCCTACAGCACCCAGTATTCATAGGTGGTATTCCGTCCAAGTACTAACCAGGCCCAACCCTGCTTAGCTTCCAAAATCAGACGAGATCGGACGTGTTCAGGGTGGTATGGCTGTAGTTTGCGGGTTCATTTTTGATATATGTTTTTTCTGCTGGCTCTCACTCATGGTACTTTTATTCTCTATGGTTTTTGTGATTTTTGACTGTGAGCTGCTCATTCTCCTTGGAAATTTGTGAGGATTGTTTGAGGATAAAAGTTGTTAACCTGAGAGTTTCTGGTGTCATAGACAGCAATACCCTACTAGCTTCAAGCTCCTCCTGCTTCCCATCTCTTAGTATCACTTTCCAAAATTCCTTCGTCCCCTTTTTTGTGTACAGTCAATTTGCATCATTCATGGTAGTCAAGTTCTATAAACTTGCCACACGCACTGAGTGAATACTGAAATATTGCTCTTAGGAGCAATATGCACACACATGCGCGTGCACGCACATGAACACACACACACACACACACACACCTCTCCTACACGTTATAATTGTAAATCCTAAAAACAATTCATCTTGGTAGATTCTATTTTCTATATTTTAAAAAAGATCAAATGAAGTTCAAATGTGTTAATTGACTTGCTTCGGGCTACCCCACTAACAGGTTCCAGAGTTGGGATTCAAACCCCATCTAATTGGTCCCAGAGCTGGAATTTCTTACACTACACTGCGTTGTGCCTGCCATCTCCATCCTCTGGTCTTCTCTGAATGACAGTTGAAAGAAGAAGACAGAGTGCAGCCTTGTTCAACCTCAGCTGGGAATGTGCACAATAGGCAAATGAAAAATTTCACCAATCCGCAAATGTATACTTATGATAGAGAAAGCACCATGAATATTAACTTTAGGGTTACAAATTTTACTGAGTAGGTAAATTCACAAATACGGAACCTGCAAATAATGAAGATTGACTGTATATAATCTTTTATCCAGTACTGCAAGTATCTACTCAATAATTTGTCCAATTCTTTAAGTACATCTCCAGGAGTGGGGGTGCTTGAGCAAATGGTCTACATCTCTATGCTTCAGAATCTTCATCTATAAAATAGAAAGAAAATACCAACTCAGAGGACCAGTAGAATAATGTAAAAGTGCTTAGCAAACAATGAGTTACTGCTGTTTGTATTCTTATAATAGTACTGGACCAAAGTGTGGTGACACCTGGTTCCAGTCACCATTTCTAGTTATCCCCATGGAATTCAAGTTTATGTGGATAATAAATGTCCTCGGAGGTATCTGACCCTATTCTCCTTCTCTTGTTGATCATTTAATAAACTTTTATTGAGCATTGATTATGAGTCAGACCCAGATAGCTGCTTGACAGCAGGAACGTCATAGTTGAACTTAAGAGACAATCAAGTACCAGATCCAGACCTCAAAGGATGAGGCAAAAGAAAGATCTGTTCACAATTGAAAAACTAAGAAAATGATGCATCTACCCAGACTGTCCAGCAGGAGCTGAAAGAACAGTCTGTCCACCCAGACAATACCAGGCTCTAACGTCTGTCCATCCTGCCCACACAGGAGTTGCTGAGGAGCAGCCCATGGAGAGAAGAAGAATGTAGATTCACAGAGGCCAAGTGGAGAACATGCTTCCAGGAGGAGAGAGGTCAGCTTGTCAAATGCTGCCGAGAAGTACAGTACGATGCAGACTGGGAATGGCACATTGGATTAGGCATGTCATCTCATTTCACCCTCACACAGCCCTCCAGAGGTGAGTTCAGAGGGCAAGTGTCTTGTCGAAGGTCATGTAGGTCATGTAGAGGTAGGATTTAAATGCCTCCATCTGAGGGCTTCCTTCCTGGCCCCTAACATCCTCTGGGCAAGAGACACATGGGCTCTATCAAATGACTCTGAGCTGGATGGTCCAAGAAGGACATTTAACTCCTGGGCAGTCACAGAAAACACTTCCTGACTACTTAATACCCAACAAGCCCAGTTCTCAGGGATTGGCCCATGTGGACTCTTATTCCTCACAGGAGTTCCAGAACATTCTATAAGGTGACACTGACTTTTGAGGAGAGGTCTCAGAGTCCAGTCTCACACTCATTTCACAACTGAGGAAACTGAGACAAAGTGTAGTAACTTAGCCAACATCACCCACAAGCCTACAGCAGAGCTGAGACTTGGACCCAGGCAGTCTGGATCCTGAGCCTGCCCTTATTACCTCCAGCGTCAGTCAGAAAACTCTTTTCAGTGAGTTCTTCCTGGGTCCCAATCTTCTTATATGGCAGAAATTCAGCTCCTGCCTTGTTCTGTCCAGTCCTGAAGGTCTGGGTCCACCATCTGAACCAGTCGGGTGCTGGATAGAGAAGGGGAAGGTGCCAGAGATGGGAGAGAAATTGCATTTATCTGAACTAATCTCAGAGGCTGTTTGTTGCCATGAGTGGGAAAGGGGGGAGGGGTTTAGACCCCCACCCCCATTGGCCTTGACAAGCCTGCTTCTGCTGTGTTCATTTGCCTTCCTGGTAAGGTTTCATTTGAAACAAGGTTACTGAGGCAGAAAAAAAAGAGTTTGAAAACCATGACCTCAAATTTATTGGTTTTGAAACTTGAATGCAATCAGGATACTTGTTAACTTGCATATGGGATGGTACCTGGATATCCACCACAGAAGAGGCCTGAGGAGATTCTGGGGGCCTGGTTGGAGGCCCAAGTGGGGAGAAGAGCCTCCTTCCTAATAGGCCTTGTAGCTGGGGGCGCCCTGGGTTCTGCTGGGCTCCCCGTCTTGGCCTGCCTGCCAACACTGATATCTGAGCCCACCATCTCCACTGCACCCAGACCTTGCAACTCTGGGGTGGAAGGTAGGAACACAACCCACCCTCACCTATGGCCAACCTGGCTCTGAGCTGCCACAAACACTCCTCATTAGTGACTGAAAGGCTGACCTCACCGCCTCCCAAGGCCTAGCAGGGGCTGAGAGAGGCTGAAAAAACAGCCCAGATGCCCTTTCGGCAACCCATCATTATCTCGTCCCTCCCCAGGTCCCACTACCAGGTAATTCCATTGTTAATTAAAATCCTGCAGCCTTAATAACACAGCCCATAATTGCTATTTTCACCAGATTGGATTGGCTGTACAGGCCTTGGGGGGACACATGGTTTTGTCTCCTGGACTTGGCTGTGACAAAGCTCTCCAGCTATATATTTACCCACTGGCCCTCAGTCAAGAATCCTCCACAGGCTTCAACAGTGGGGTAAGGGGGACCAACATCTCCCACCCTGGGGGCCACCCCAGCACCCCCTCGATGTCTCTAAGGAAGGAGGCTGGCTCACCCCACTCAGAGACAGGACTTCAAGGTGCAACCTCCAACGACACAGCCTGGGTGAAGGCTGGCTCCCACACACACACACACGGTGTGCACACGCGCTGAGCCTGTCTCCATGTAGCCCTGCTCTTTCTCATCCACATCTCCTCTGATGCTCTCCAGCGCCCAAGCCCCCACTGTGCAAGATCAGAGGGGAAGGAGGGTTTCCCCAGACCACACAGCAGGCAGGCAGCAGAGCCGGGAGGCCTGGGGTCCAGACCCGCTCATTGTTCCTTGGCCGTACTCTCTGCCATTGACTTGAATGAACTTTTCCACTTTGTGGCTCTTGGCCTCTCCCTTCTCCTCCACTCTCCCACACTCCCCCCAGCCCCTGCTGCTCTTCCTAAGCAGTTCTGGGTGAGGACCTGGGGCCCTGGAGAGGCCACTAAGAGAGGCTGAGGGTGGGGAGAGGAAAAATGGGAAGGAAACAGGAGGACCACAGCTAGAGTTCACGGAAGTCAAAGGTTGGGGGTCCTATGGGGCAGTGGAGCCAGGACAGCTGAGTTGGGCCCTGTCCTAATGACCTACTGGAGTGGACACTCTGCTGCCACACCCAAAGTCCTCTTAAGGTCTGAAGGATTAGCCCCAACGGCTGAGAAGGTGAACGAATTATCCTCTGCTGAAGAGAGCCAACCCACCAGAGACTGAGGCCCAGACCTTTCCTGGGGCAGCCTGTTCTCCAATGTGAGTGGTGAGTGTGGGGCTTTGAAGGCCAAGCCCCAGCCATGAGGTCTGGTTGTGACCTCAACTCTCCCCATCCCCCTGCTGCTGTCCCTCTCTCCTGGGTGCTGATCCCAAGAGCATCCCCATTAAACTTCCTGCACACTATCTCCATTCAGAGTCCATCTTCAGAGACCATACCTTCTAGAGCCTTCTTTACCTTTGGGATTCCAGGTCCTTCTCCCTTCACTCTGCCCATTCCCTAGGAACCCCTCCCCCAGGAGCCCCAGACCCTACACCCCACTGCCAATTACCTAAGCCCAGCTCATGGTCCTGGATCCTCTGCTCCTTTGGGACAGAGTACCTGGTCAGTGAGCTCAAGCTACAAATAAACTCAGGTACCCACAGGCAAAAGACTCTAGAAGCCAAGGACCCCTTCAGTGCCTTTTATGCCTCTGATGTTAACTATGTCATCCCTATTTTGAGGGATGCTGCCTGCCCCAATCTGCAGAGCTGAGAAGTGCCAGAGATAGAGCTCAGGCTTCCTCTGCTTCTCACAGCTCACAGCCTCAGCCAACCTCCTAAAAACTCCCTTCCCTCACTGCTGGCTTTGTGAGAACATAAGTCCCTTAACCACCCAGTCCTCACTGATGCCTTAGTGGGATAATCATATTTAGAAAGGACTGCTTTCATTCATCCACTTTTTCATTCATTCACTCAATTATCCACTCACTCACTCACTCATTTACTAATTCATTCAATCAACGAACATGTCTTGAGTACCTACCCCATACCAGGCTTTGTGTTTGGTGCTGGGGACACCTCAGTGAGGAAGGTGGACAAAGACCCTCTCTTCGTGGAGCTCATAGTCTATGAAGGAAGACACATAATAGACAAGATGAACAAGTGAAATAAACATAAAACAGGTTAGATGATGGTACATGCTAAGGAGAGAGAGGGGATGTAAAATGTCTGGAGTGGGGCAGAGGGTGAAAGTTAAGACGAAGTAGTTAGGGAAGGCCCCACTGGGAACCCTTTACCTGGGGTCTTGGTGGGGCGGGGAAGCTCCCCCAAGCAGAGCCCAAGCAGAGTGGACTGCCGCTGCACTGGCCCCGCCTCCCTGTCTGTTGTCCTGGCAGGGGGCAGTCGGCAGGGACCATGGCCCCACCCAGGGGAGGCAGCTGTGAACAAGCAGTGGGCCTTCTTGTCCCCGGCCTCCAGCCAGTGCACCTGACTTGAACCCTGCCTAGGCCCAGCTCACCATTCTAGGTGGCCTTCCCATCACTCAGGACCTCAGGTGCATCCTAATAAAGAAATGCCTGTGGGCTCCTTGCAAAGACTACTGCATGTTGGCAGGGCACCCTAGGATCCCAGATAAAAATAAAATCACCAACCCAGTGGTGTGGTATGTTCCCCCCAGTGGGCCCCAACTACTCAGCTTCAACCAGATGCCCCAGCCTCTGTGGGGGTGTGCCTGACACTGTCATCCTCAGGAACCCCTGAGCAAGTCATCACATTCTGCAAATCTGATTAGCTGGTTTCCATGTGTTCTTCTCTGTTAGGTGCCCAGTGAGTGAAAAGGCCCAGTCCCAGCCTAGAGCCCTGTGACCTGCCACTGGAGACCTTTAGTGAAGTAGGCCACCCTCTATGACTTCTAACAAGCCTTCTTTCTGAGGGATCAGGAACGAACCCCAAGCTTTCCCCACTGTGTGACCAGAACATCTCCTGGGCTCTTATGTGTGGAGGAAAAGGTGGAAAAGGTGCCAACTAAGGACAAATGGCAAATACAAGACAAACTGCCCAGGGTCCTGTGGAACCAACCTGGCCCTGGGAGGTATCTGAATCTATGAGACATTCAGTGAGAGTTACAAAGAAGCATTCTGCTCAAGACCGAAGGGGAACAGGATGAGGTTAAGTAGTAATGGGAAAGTTACAAATTCATGGAAAAAGGGAACTGCCACGGATTGGGCAGCAGGGACCTTGCCTCAGGATCCTGATACAAAAGTAGGCATCATCATCCCCTTTTATTTATGAGGAAGCTGAGACTCAGAGGAAGTCAGCACCTTTTTCTCGAGTTGCAGTGGGATTCAAACCTGCATTCCTCCCACTCTCACAAGGCATCTTGTTTCAAGAGACTGGCCAACCCATTGACCTGTTGGTAGGTGGGCCCTGGTCTCAGAAACTGGCCCTGCAGTGAACCTTCCTCATTTGGGGTCAGAGTGAGCTGCCTGAAGACTTGAGAAAGTGTTTTGTTCAGAGCTATGGCCTTAAGGGGAGGCCCACCCATGGCCAACAGGGTCACAGATCCCTCTCTCCTCCATTTGTGTTTCTCCTCTCCATTCCCTCAGACACCCAGTGCCCGCAGCTCACCCCTCTCCCACCCCCACCTACAGTGCCAGCAGGAGGCAGTGAGCAGCAGAGGCAAAATGCCAGGGCTCTGGAGTCAAACTGACCTGGACTGGATCTCAACGCTGTACCATCCTTGGGCAAGTTGCAAAGCCTCTCTGAACCACACTGTATTAATGTCCTATTCTTGTTGTAACAAGTTACCACAAATCTAGTGGCTGAAAACAGCACAGATTGATTATAGTTCCGGGTCTCACTGGGCTAAAATCAAAGTGTCAGCAAGGCTGTGTTCCTTTCTGGAGGCTTTAGAGGAGAATCTGTTTCCTTATCTTTTCCTCCTTCTACACACTTTCCACATACTTTGGCCCATGGTCCCCTTTCACCTTCAAAGCCAGCAGGATAGAATCGTTAAATCCCTAACACCTACCTCCCTTTCTGCTTTAAAAGACCCCGGGATTACAGTGGGTCCACCCGGATAATGCAAGATAACCTCAATGTCAGTGGCATTATTCTGCCCACGACACCCACTTTCCTGACTGGGATTATGAAATTAAGATGAGTTTATGCGATAGGAGCCTCACGCATAATGGCTATCACAAGTAGAAGTTTAAAAATGATTCCTATGAGTATATGTTTTTATACTAAATTATTCAAGTAAAAACAGTTTGGAGGGAAATGCAAATACATCAGGAAAATGAAAATCAAAGCCACAGTGAGATATCACCTCACACCCAAGCTATCTGGCTCCTGGTCTCTGGAAGTGCTAGTACTTTGGGTCCATCAAGCTTTCTGACTCTTCCTCAGATATTTCAAAAAACGCTGTTCTAAGTAAATTTCCTAACTTAAGGTTTTGTGCATTTAAGCAAAAGTCAAGCCATTGATTCCAGAGTCTGATGTCACCAGCTTGTTTTACAAAAAGACATGCAAAATCCTAGAATCCTTCAGCTCTTCTCCTAAAGAGACAAGAAATCAGTCCTGAGCCTCGAAAGATCTAGTTACAGGGAGGAAGGAAAGGTTTAGGCTGCTCAAGTTTTTACTGCAGGGTCAAGCCTTCACTCATGGCTACCACGAACAGTTGTGCAGCTAGTGCAGTGCACTAATGTATCCAGCTGGGGTGTCAGGAAAGTGAACATGGGGGCTGAGATCCAGTCCACATTGCACTCGCCAGTGGCATTAATGCCCCTGGGTTGGCTCTTCCCAGAAGGGATGCACAAAGGCACAGTACGTGCTCAAAATCTGCTTTGCAAATTAGATATCCATCTTGGACAATACATGGTCCTTCTGCACATGACCAGGACGCTTCTCAGGTCAAATTTGACATACCTCACACGTTGACAACAGTCAGTTTTACTGTATACTATCTCCTATTCGAAGAGACAAGTTCACATATCGAAGCTTAGCTGTTACGGTGATATCAAATTTCTATCCAAGTGTCTAGACATGCTCGATGTCTGTGCTCATCTCATCCTGACCAGTTAATTGTTTGCATAGCACTGGGCCTGGAAGCAGCCCTGCTCTCACCCATTATGGATCCCCCAGGGACACTCTGGGCCCTCCCGTCCTCATTTTTGGGGAGCTGGTCAGAAACCAAGGCCAGAGGTGAGGTCTGAGAGTGACTTGAGGTGAGGGAGGGCCATCCAGAAGGGAAGGGCAGTGAGGCCCTCCTTCCACAGGTCCCCTGCACATGCTCTCAGGGGCTTCTCTCTTGGGGTGGAGAGGCCATATCAGAGGAAACACTGACTCTCTGGGCTCTGAGAGGCCACCTGCCTAACCTGTGTCTGTGAGAAGGCTAAGGTTGAAAACTCCATGTTGCCCTAAACTCTTGGTCCAGGCCCAAGTGTCATTAGCAACGCAAGGTGTTCTGGTTATCCATTGCTGTATAACAAGCCATCCCAAAACATAATGGCTTTAAATTTCTTTATTATTATCTCTTTCATGGTTCAGCTGGGTGGGCAGTGCTGGCCCAGGGTCATCATGTAGCTTCAGTTCAGTGGCCACAGAGGCTGGAATTATCTAGAAGCTCAGCTGGGCTGGAAGTCCAAGATGGTTTCTTCACTCACATGTCTGGTGCCTCAGCTGCAAAAACTAAAATAGCTAGGGCCTGGCCAGATCTCTCTCCCCTCCAGACTTCTCCACGTGGCTAGCATGGGCTTCCTCACAATACGGCAGTCTCAGAGAATTCAGACTTGGTCAACATGGTGACTGGCTTCCCCCAGTGCAAGCCTTACCAGATAGCCAGGTGGGAACCGCAAAAGCTTCTTCCGACATGGCCTTATAAGTCACTCAGTCACGTCTACTACATTCTACTGGTGTACACGAAGCCAGCCTATATTCACAGGGAGGGGGCTATGCAAGGGCATGAATACCAGGAAGCATGGTTCATTGTAGGAGCCATCTTCAAAGACAATCTACCACGATGGGGCTTCCTATGGCAAGGGCAAGGCTTGGGGAGCAAGGTCAAAGGCAACCAGGGTAGGATGGCCCAACTGTTGAGCTGGACTTTTTCAGAAATGCTGTCATTTATTGATTTCATAGTCATCCTCTGTCACCTGTAACTCAGATCCAGCCTGGCCCTCAGGGTACCCAGAGTCACCCACTATCAGTACTATAAGTGCTTTTTCCTACAGGAAATTATCCTTTCGGGTGGAGAAATAGTATGAGATATTCCTGTCCTCACTACTTAATCCCAATCACTGATTAAAATCTATATTTTATTAACTACGGTCTACTCCATGGTCCAGCTACTTTAGAAATTTTGTCCTCATACAGTCTCAAAATTTTTTAACTCACTAGGGGATCTACAGCCAAAACAAGGAAGTACACAGCTCTATACCCATCCACTCCTGTTATTCTGATCAAGTTCATGCTTTTACAAGTCTCAATTTTTTTTCCTATAAGAAAAGAGGTTTGGGGAAGGAGATGAGGTTAACCAGATGACTGGATTCCAAGAGACACTATCATGATCAGTGGGCTCCAACTATCTCTGTGGCCTTGGGCAAATCCCTGTCAGGTTCTAATGGCCCACCTGTAGCATGGGAAGTCAGAGAAGATGGCTCTGTGGTCTCCATGCACCATGGACTCCAGCACCATCATTCTTCAATTCAGATTTCCATCTGGACCCACTTCAGCACATGCAAGAATGCATCCATCACCTCAGGTGTGAGATTCAAGTCTGGCTGTTCGGCACAGATTTTTGTTCCCAGATCCGAGCCCCCAGCGGTTCAAACATTGCAGACAGGCAGACACTGCCATGGAAACTGACCTGGAATCCATTCACTGTCTCCCAGCTACAGCTGAATGATGAGCTAGGCTGGATGGCAGGTTGGTATTGGAGAAAAGATTGAAATGAGGGGTCAGCCAGGCTGGGTAAAAATCCAGCCTCCCACTTGGTTTTGGTGTGACCGCAAGAAATTCCTTAATCTTTCTGAGCCTCAGTTTCCCCTCTGTAAAGCGAGAGCTATAAAGCACACGTCCCAGGAAAGGCCCAAGGATCAAAGGTCATATTTGAGAAATCCTGATGTAGTGT